AAAAAAGCTAGTTTTGATGAGAAAAAGTTCAGTCCTTTTCTTGTAAGTACAAAGAAACTCAACAGGAACTTTAAAGGTAGTAGGACAGAAAAGGCAAGAGTAACTCTTGTAATCCTTTTCAATTAAACAGACAAATCAACTTGAAGAACAGTGTTAAAACACTATTTGGCCTGAATATTTATTAGCCTATACATCCTGTTGTTCAATTGTGTTTTGATTTTTTAAAAAAGCAAACCAACGAAATGTATAAGAGGTATTGCCCCATTTAGAGTGCTGAAAATAACTTAGTTTCCCTCTCCAAGGATACTTTTCATCCTCTAAAGCATAAAATGCTATATAATATCTTATGCAAATTAACCAGTGTTTTTACAAAAGTAATGCAGTTTTGGACTGATGATATTACACTGCATTTGTGGTAAAGTACTAAGCATAAGATCAATTAGGCATTTTCAGTCTAATCAGTTTCTAAGGATATCATTTAATTCTTGGCAATATATAATAACTGGTATGATTTTGGTATTTAAATCATAAATTGTGGAGAACAAGAAGAACTGTATTATAGTAACAGGATTTGTATCTAGCAAACAGTTGCAGTGTTGAACAAAGCTCTTCTATGAACTTCGTGAATTTGTTTTGCCGTGGGTCACCTGTAGTAGAGCCTTGATTTGATTCTTCCGTCTTCATGCTTTCTCCATCTGCAGTCTTTAACATTTCTTCATCTTTGCCATCATCATATAGATCTTTTGACATTAATTCTCTAGCTAATTTGATATTAAGTCATTCGCTGTAGTGAAGCTTCCTTTTCATTTCAAATTGTCGCCTTTTTTCTCCTTCCTCAGATGAGAGGTCACTAGCCTCCTGTTCACTGTTTTCTTGTTCTTGAACCCTATACTTTGGATCCAAGCCTTCAGCAGCCGCTAATTTCTTAGCTAAGATATCTGCTGCCATGGCTTCAGTGGTTTCTGTATCACCACATGCATCTTCACCATCCCCATCTTAACGACAGTAAGGAGTGCTTGGTTCATCTATTTTCATTAAACCATCGTCTTTGTCTGCTGGATGATATGTCGCCAGGATGTTCATTTCTTTCCACTTCTGGGATTTTTTGCTCCGCTCCTCGTCGACACTCCCGCTGGGCTGTTCAGCCGACGCCACCATAGAGGAAGCTGTAGAGGTCTTGTTCTTCAGGATCCCTTTGATGGGCCAGTGCGAGGCAGTCCAGGCCGCCATTTCCGGGCGCTCCTGCTGTTGGCTCAGGGTCACCGCTTGGCGTCCGGTCCGGAAGAGAAGAGTCAGTCCCTGGCAGAGACAGTGCAGACAGCCGCGGTGCCCGCTTAGGGCTAAAGCGGCCGCATCTGCTGTCTCAGAAACGGCTACCTGAGTGGTTGTCACGAAACAACGACCCCAGCGCCACAGCCAGCGCCGGAGGAGTGGCGGCTGCTTGCGGGCCCTTAGCCGCCGGCACTTCAGCCGCACTAGCCGGGAGACGCCGGCAAGAGCTCCAGCGCTGGAGCGACGCCACGCCAAGCGGGCCCGCTCTCTCTGGATATCTTAGTTTGATTTAAATTCTATCACACTGGCAGCTGTTTCTCACTCCCCTTTGCTTGTTCTTTCTCATTTTATGGGTCTGAAATCTCTTGTGTGTCTAAGAACTCAGACTTCCGACTACTTCTCTATTATTTCTGCACACAGTTACTAAGTTATTTCATGCAGTCCAATGCCTGGAAAAGCCATCTGTATGTTTGACGACTGTTATATCACTTTATTCCGAGGTCTGCTTTTGTTTTTGGCACATCGTAAGTCCTTTTAAAATACTTTGTGAATAAATATAGAGATGAGTGAGACCTAAAATATCAGGTATCTTTATACAAGGAGCCATTGAGATGGTTATAAGCAGAACCAGTGCCAGTCTTTGGACTTTTGATCTTATATTGAGTCCAAATTAGGAATTCCTTCTTTCATTATCAATTTATTTTTAAATGCATAATTTTTCTCCTAAAAATGGTGCCTGTCAGATGATTGATGCCTTTATACTTGAATATCAGTCATTAAACATTTCATTTACCGTCAAAATAGTACTCAGCACTATTAAATCTCTTTAATTTTGAGAATGGATTGAATGACTTGCAGTGTCATGATATCTGGCAATTTGGATGTTATAAGAAATACAGTTGATAGAAAGAGACAAATAGATGACAAATAACATAATATTTCTTACACAAATTTTTAAACAATTAAATTACAGCTTTTATTTTTATTTTGGACTAAGATATAACTGGTATTAAGTCAGGAATAGTGTAATCTTTGGAAATTCATTTATAACCTCACATTCCTCCTTTGTAAAATGAAAAAAAAAAAATAACTTTCTCAGTGAGTTGTAAGGAGTAAACGAAATAGTTTAGAATAGTGTCTGGCATAAAAAAAGCTCTTTAAAAGTTAATAATAATAATTATGTAATCAGTTAATTCAAATTGACATCAAATTAGAATTATATTTATTAAATACATTTGTGATGTCAAGATACACTAATATATCTAAGATTTAAAACTGAATCATAGTTAACTTCTTTTCAGTGTTCTTTCCTTTCGTAACAAGTGTGTGGTACTTATCTTAATATTTTTGTTAGTGTTTTACTTGAACCATAAAATCACCACATGACTTCAAAATACAGTATTCCTAGCAACTGTTTCTCACTGCTGATTCACTAACATCTGTTTCTCATTCCTGATTCACAGAACTGGCTGTGGTAAGAAAATAATAATGCATATTAAGCTGATTATTTTATATGTTCTCCAAATCAATCCGTTTCTAGACTACCTCTCTTGGCCCACTATTATAGCATATTTTTTGCAAATATCGGGACATATCTACAGCTTCTGTAATCATAAAAAATCATTTTCAGTCTTGGCACTAAAACTATTTGCATATATTCAGAAGAATATTTGATTTTGACCTTCGATTCATTTCCCTAACATTTTTCAAATTTATCCTTATTGATTCAATTAATTATTTATGAAACGTACTTTTTTCATGTCTGCAATATTTTTTATGTGTTTGACACAAATGTTTAAGTTAATATAAAATTTAGGTTAAGTACATCAAATACTAAGAATTCTAGTTCAATATATGGTGACCTTTAGAGAATTATTTGTGTTAGAAAATACACTTTGTCAATGAATGCTTACTTAGAAAAGCATTGTGTCCTGCTCAAGTGTTGCTTAAATAGAACTTATACAGTAATAGGTCACCTTAAAAAAATATGCCAGATGGTGAAGGAACTGAAGAGCAGGTTGAGTTAATGAAAAATGCATTGATGATGCTATGACATTTGTCTGAAATTATAGAGCAAATTGTGGGGGAAGGCACAAGTAAGAAGGAGGTTTAATATTCAAAAGATGTTTTTTAAATTAGTATCAGCAAAGACCTATGTCTTCTTCCAACAATATCTTAAACTAAAAAAGTAGACTAGTGACACAGGACCCCAGTGGTGCTTTGCCAGCTGGTGACTTCTGATGTTGGTGACGCCCCTACCCAGGATTGCCCTTGAATTGCCACAGGAGGCACCCACCCAATTGGTTCAGTGGGCTGCCTTTGACTTGTGCTCCAGGCTGGATCCAGTGCTCACCGTGGTATCCACGTTCAGCCTGCCGCTCAGCCAGGCACGCAGCAACCTGCTTCCACCTTGGGCACCTGAATCTGAATGAAGGGAATGCAGTGGCTCCCAAGAAACTCGGAGACACCAGCAACTCAGGATCCCCAAAGAGAGTATTATTCCCACCTTCTGCAGCTCAGTGGACAGGGGTGTGTTAACAGCTTTTTCAGTCCTGTTGCCCAACTCCAGCGTGTGGTTCCTGGGCTGACAGCCACACCGCTGCTTTCTGTTGTATGGGGCAGTTGCCCAACACTGGCAGAGGACCTTGGGCTAGAGTGCTTCAGCCTTTTTCATACCCACATTTGGCAGGTCCCAAGTTCTTGCCCCACTTCCAACAAGAATGAAGTTACTCTGACAACTGAAGGATGAGCAGGGCAGAGACTTTTACTGAGCGACAGCACAGTTTATAGGAGAGAGGGGACCCAAAAAGGACCGCCCCCTACCCAAACTCGAGTAGCCTGTGAGGTGTCTGAGTCCGACTGCGTCCTTGGTTTTTATGGGCTCAGAATGGAGGAAGTGCATGCTGATTTGTCTATGGGCAGGAGGAAGTGGTGCTGAGTCGGTCCATGGTTGGGTGTGGAAAAAGCACCATCTGGCTGGCTGATAGGCGTCAAGGAAGTTCCCACTCCTGGTCGCAGACTCTACTTGGAACTGGAAGCCCAGCCCCCAGACTTCAGGCTATCCTTGACTTGATGGTTGGGTCCCACCAGGGACCTGCCCTGCCTAGGAACCTGTCTGCCTCCTGCCACCATCAATACCATCTTTTATAAATGTAAGCTCACAAATACTGCATCTTAGATTGTAACCATTTAGTGCTAGCATTGAATAATTATATACTATAAGAGGAAATATTTTAAGACAGAATTAGTGACTATAGTTAAAAAGTTATAAGTTGAGCTATTATCTGTTTATTTTTGGATAGCGGGGTGTCTTTTTAGTTGCTAAAAATTTTCATTCCAGTTTAATACAATAAACTTAAAAAACTGTTTAGCTAAAATGTATATTCCATCATCTTAATTCAGTTTTTATGTCTCCTCATGCAAGGAGCAAGAGGTTGGTAGACAGTTTAATTCAAATGAGAGTTCAGAAATTAGAAACTTGGAAAAATTGCCAAATAGCTTGCACCAGGCACTCCTTTAAAGTAAACACTAAAAAATATCAACTCATCAAGCTGTGTCAATACTTTGATTCTCCTCATTTATTCTTCAAGGCAACTGAAAATCCGTGAGATTTGTAAGGTATTGACCATGATGTTTGCATCCTCTATGTTTCAATGAAATCCTTTTTTGCCTATTATGTAAGTGTTCCCAAAACCAACTCATTATATTCTACATCAAAAATATAATATTTTAATTATGGAAACCTCTCTTAATTTTTCTCTTAATATACTTACAGTATTTATTCCATAACTCTAGGTACAATTATATATGTGAATACATTTATATGTTTTAAAGTCTCAGTCATTTTCGTGTTTTATGAGAAAATGAATTGTTTTCAAACTCATTTGAAGTCTTCATTAAAAATAAAATCTAATGAATTATGTAGTGAAATTCCTTTTAATGTCACTTATATATAACTAGAATTAAAGAATTAAAACAATATTTTCCATGGTTTCAAAAACTATCCTTCTCTTCCACTCTTATTGACATAGTCAGTGAATAAATTATCTAATTTACCATGTTCTCACATAGAAGTGTTGGTTTCACCTTTTTGAAAACATGATCTTCTAGAAAATGGGGGAAATGCCAGCATGCTAAAATCAGCAATCTCTACGATGCCATAGGTATAAGCAGAAAAAAAAAAAGTCATGATTCCCTAAGTTAATTTCTGAATAAAATAAAAATGTGTGGAATTGGGAGAGCGTAAGATAGGCAAAAGAAGATTAGAAAAGTTACAGAAAATTCTTGAAGAAGTGACAAGCAGGATAGAGACAGGTCAAAGTAGATTTATTTTTATGTCAGTATTCACTTATAAGTTATGATGGACTTCTAAGCTTACACGTTTAACATATCC